GAATGGTCTGGTTAGGAGCCAGGTGAGCAAAGAGCAGATAAAGGCAGCACCTGCCTATGGGTTTGGAACAGCCCGGGGCCATAGGTAGAATGTAAACACACTCTGAAAATCTTACTGTCTGACTCAGTGCCAGCGTCTTCTGGGCTCTTGTAATGGAAAATATTCTGTCTGAGGTCATTCAGTGACTAGAAAACCAGCATTTAATACCCATAATATTAGGTGCCAACTCGCTTCTTCCTTTGTGTCGATAAATAAACAAAGTGGGGTAGCATTTTGTATTGCCAAGACCTTTGTTTTAATGGGAAGGGTTTAAGTTTTTCTTCTTCCTCCTCCTTTTAAATGCATGGACTCTGCAAATTTCTGCTCTATTTGCCTCTATTTGCTCCTTTTGGCCACATGCACACACCCAGCCTTCTGAGCAAGAACAAATGTCTGTGCTTCCTTGTAAATCTGTGTTTGCTGCCCCAGGCTATGTTTGTAATTCCCTTGCTGAGCTTTGAGATGAGTAGGGGAGAGGTGCAGCTAGCTGAGATGATGGAAGCTGCCGTTTCCCTCCTTTCGTCAATTAGGCTGCTTCACTTGGCTTCAGCTAATTATTAAAAATTTCCATTGGAGATGGATTTGCACTTGCATGGCAGGTCGCGGGATGTGGGACTGAGAGACCCGAGGAGGAGAGTAAGGTGGGCTAGTCCCTACTTGTAACCCGGGGACAGAGAAACGACATGGCTTTAGAACAGTAGTCAAAGCAATTGACCCTCTGATCAGTGCAGTTTGCTCCCTTTGGTATATTTGTTGTTGCTTTTGTCCAGTCCCAAGCATGATAATTCTAGCAGGGCTAGTGGCACCTTAGAGACGAACCAATTTATTTGAGCATGAGCTTTCATGAGCTACAGCTCACTTCATCGGATGCATTCCACTGGATGCATTCCGATGAAGTGAGCTGTAGCTCACGAAAGCTTATGCTCAAATAAATTGGTTAGTCTCTAAGGTGCCACTAGTCCTCCTTTTCTTTTTGCGGATACAGACTAACACGGCTGCTACTCTGAATTCTAGCAGTAGGCCTTCCACCAGTTCCCCTGGGGAAACTCGTCCACTCTCTCCAAAATTACGGCTAAGGAAACTTCTCCGGTGAAGTGAGCTGTAGCTCACGAAAGCTTATGCTCAAATAAATTGGTTAGTCTCTAAGGTGCCATTTACAACACACACTTTGCTTCTCTACAAAAGAAAAAGGACACTAAACTATCTAAACTACTACATGCCACAAGAGGCCACAGCAATGGTTCCCTTAACCCACCCGGCATAAAAAAACAACCTTCCACGCAAACTTCCTCGTGGCTGGACTTTACAAAAACTAGCGAATACAGACTAACACGGCTGCTACTCTCAAACTTCTCCGGTGTTCACACTGAACTTTCCTGCCTTTGGTTTTCATCCAGTGACGAATCCCCCATTGTTCACAGAAGGCTGGACCCGCACGTGGCATTTAGTGTGGGGGAAGAGGTGCTTGCAAACCAGAAGATCTCTAGGAGGAGATGAGAGCATCGTCAGCCAGAGAATTCATAGCATGTAGGGGTTCTCTCCAGGTCCTTCTTCCACAGACATCAGCATGGTGCCTGAGTACCTTATGGACATGGCCTGTGTAATGAAATGCAGTAGAAAGCCCTATCAGTTGTTTTAAAGCACAGTTCCTCTGTAAATTATCACATACATTTGCAGTGCAGTGAACAATAATGTGAAACCGTGGACCGAATTGGCCATTTAAAACCAAGCTCTCCCCACTTACCGGGATGGGGAAAATGAGCCTCCATCCCTCCTCTCTTAAAGATCAACATATTTTTTGTATCATCCCATCTAGAGGCAGCTGAATCTCTGCCAGGGATTTCAGCTCACTCACAGCTTTTAGAGCTTATAATTCAGGTGAGACATGTTAATGCTGACTGTAATGTCACACCGCAATCCACAACTCATAATAAAGATGGCAATCAATGCTCATCTCAATCTCAGTGGGGCTTTTGGTGGTGGTTGTGTCTTGCCCATGGAGATTCTCCTTTAGCTCAGGGTGGTGGAGACATTTGGAGCCAGAAAGTAGTAAATTCTGTGCCACGCCTACCATTGTGGTGACAATTTGTTAGCCAGGACTCTGCCATCAGGAGCAGTTTACTCCTCCCCTGCTAGCGTGTGGACTTTAAGGCTCATGTTTTCAAAGCTGTCTACAGGATTTGGATGCCCAATTCCCATTAAAATTAACTTTAAAAGTCTCAGCCTAACTGTTTCACTTTTCCTCATGCTTTCGTTTCTGATGTGGCTGCTTATCCCATGTACATCTCTGCAGCAGAAAAGATTGCCACTGCTCCCCATCAGGGCTGAGACATGCATGCAGATCTCAAAATTTTGAAGAAACAGAGGTTTAGTTCAGCTCCATGCTCTGTATGTTACTATAATTATGAAACTGACAGTGTGCTGTAGGTGAGGGTCCTTGGGACCCTGCTTATGAACCTAACTCGGCAGCTGACCTGGCAGGAGGAATTGGCAAATGTACATTCCTTTTGGACAGAATGAAATCTGCACGCAAATTGACACATGACGCAGTTAATATTCCATTGTGTGAGATCTCTGAATGGACTGAAGCCTGAATGCTCCATTAACTGCACACACGTAAAATATTCACTGAGCTTGGGTTTTGTTGCCAGGCTGGGGAGTGGGGAGAAGTGCTGTATATAGAGATAAAAATGTCAGTGTTGAAGGTACATACTGAAATCTTTTCCTTTAAAAAAAAAATTTTTTTTTAGAGAAAGGTCTCTAATCTTCAGGAAAAAAAGGGAGGATTAGATGCAAAAATTACTGAGTTTCAAATTTCCAATATAATTGTCCGAAGTCTGAAAGCACCTCTCCTATTTGTGCCAAGATCCTTACTATATTTTGCAGTGTGTACACTCTACAAAGAAAACCCTGGATCAGTCTGTTTTTTTGTTTTTTAACATAGTAGTAAATGCAGAAACCACAATAACATCCCCAAAGGGGCTGTACTCCTAAGTAAAGGGCTAGATTTCCTAAACACAGGAAACGCTGAAGCATTGCGGTGGCAGAGCAGGTAGGTACTAGCTTTTCTTTCCTGAAAGCCCAGATTTTAATTTATAGACAAATAAAAAGATCTTCTCCTGTTCTGGGCTGGTTTCAGAGGTTTAGAACAATAAGCCTTCCGGTTTCATTACCTACATATTGTATAGCTAGCGAACACTTAGAAGGGATTTGGTTAAAAAGGGTTGGCTGAATTGCTGGCCGCCATTTGAATTAAGAACCACGAATGAAACCATAAACTCACATTTCAGAACGGTCAGGCCTGGCGAACTTCTCGTTGTATTTCCCACCATTGTATTTACCACTGCTCACAAAAATAAAAGGAGTACTTGTGGCACCTTAGAGACTGCTCACAGTCACTCTCCAGCCAGGGGATTGTAATGTTGTCCTGGGAACAAATGAGATTACCTGGGCACATTATTGTTCCTTTGCCATGGTACCTACAAACCAAGGACCTGATTGTATGAGGTCATGACTGCCCTCAGCTTCCACTGGCATACTTGTAAGGGGACCATAGCAAAACTTGGGCCTGCAAACCCACTACTCACCAACATATGTTTCCTTTTATATGTACATAACATGCTGGCTCACCACTTAAGGGCTGCAGGGTTTGGGGCTAGTCAACTGTGATTACCACTGAGGCACACCTGGACTGGATCTGGTAATTCCCTTTGAAGGGCAGCAGGTGGCTGCAGTGAAGGGGGAAGCTCGGAAAACTGCAGGAAGTAAGAAAGACCCTGATACCTGGGGGCTGGGCACATGAGGCTCTAGCTCTGTAGGGGCCTGGTCTGCCAAAGCAGGCAAGGCCCAGGAGGGGGAAGGCCTGGGAGTAGGGTGAGTTGGAGAGTGTTGGGATTGAGCAGACTCCAGCCGAAGGACCTGGGATGAGAATTTTCCCTAGTGAGATTACAGGCCTGGGACTGACCCAACCAGAGAGTAAAACCAATGGACGGTGTCTAGGGACGTAAGATTTAATCTTGGAGCTTTATTTATGTGAATAAACTCAGACCCCAAAGAAGGGCTGGGGAACAGGGAAGAAAACCCTGTGTGGAGTTTGTCACGGAAGCCTGTTGAGGGAGAAATCGTTAGCAGGGCACATCAGAGGCACTGCTGGCCATGAGGGGGTGCATGGGAGGCTACAAGTACATAATATTGTATCCCTAGAAGCCCTGATTCAGCAAAGCATTTAAGCACATTATTAACTTTAAGTACATGCTTTGACCTCAGGAAAGTGCTTAAATGCTTTGACATTTAAAAATAGATCTACAATTAACAGTAGGCCTGATTCTCCACTGGACTGCACTAGTTGTATGCTGGTGGAACTCCAGTGACTTCAGCTTGGATGTAGGATTTGGTTTTAGGATGTTTTAGTTTTGCAAAACAAGGAATTTGATATCCTGGAGTTGGAGGGAGTTTGTGTAACTGCTTCTGTTTTGGGCCCATAGTTTTTAAGGGAAGTCCTTTTTTAACTCTACTGATCAAGTGACCTATTTGCCCAAGATGAGGTCTATAACTACCAGCACTCATGTTCTGAAAGCTAATCCCTGACCCTATCCAGTGGTTTATAGCACTGGGGTGCCCTTACACTATAAATAGAGACAATATGGGAGAAGAAAATGGGGAGACAACTTTTAACTGTACTGAAATGTAGTGAAGTTGGAGAGCTTTTTGGAGGAATGCAGCTGAAAACCCTAAGTTTCTCATTTGAAAGATGGGACTGTCCATCCCAGATATGTTAGACCTTTTTCTGCTAGAGTGAAGAGCCCACTGTTAAGTATTTATTCCCCATGTAGATAGCTATAGACTGTGATCAAATCAACCCTTTTCCAAAAAAGCTACCTGTCCAGGATGATTGATAACCTTTCCGTTACGAGTTGCCCGACGTAATACACCTTTCTCTGTCTGAATTGCTCATTCTCCAGGAGGGAGGGAGAAGGCCTGAGGATCTACTGGGATAATCTGAAAGAGCCATCTGTCCTGTCCCGTTGGAACCCATGGGCCACAGATATCCCTTATGCAACTTTCACAGAACATCCAGTGAAGAATAGCACTGAAAGGTTCAGTGCCATCTGCCAGGTATGGAGCATGGCTTCTCCGGATAGCAGGAGAAATACATACTTGTGGAATGCCTGGAAGGTGAAAGGCATGTTTGTTTGGGGCCTAAATTTCTTAACTGTACCCTTTTTAATTCTCCTTGCATTCAGTAATTCAAGTGATAGCAATACACTGAGAGAACTTCTTTATGAACCAATGTGATCATATGAGAGAGACGAAAGCTTGTGCATTTCCCTCGGGAACAAAAATATACAGCCCTGCTATAGAAATGCTATATGAGTAGCAAATGTGTTTCACAAATTAGACTTACTGATTGTGTAATATAAAGGCAGCCCTTTTCGTATGACAGTATATGTACAGATTTAACATATGCGTAGAATAAAAAAGGGATATAAGACATGTTAAGTCTGAACGGAGCTAGGATCTACTCTGAGTAAAGGGGGCAAAGGTCGATCTTATAGTTGAAGCATTGGGCTGGGACTTAGAACATCTGGGTTCAGTTCCTGGTTCTGACAGAGATTCCATGTGACTTTAAGCAGGTCACATGGGACCAGATTTTCAGAAGAACTCAGGGGCATTTTTTCACATTCAAAAAGTGCTTAGCCCCTTAGCAACTCCCGCGGCTTGGGATGTTGGGAAGAGGAGAGGGGAGCTGTCCATTATTCTCAGCTAGAGCTGCGGGGGACTGCAGCATCTGTGAAGAGAAAACCACTCACCCCAGTGGGTTCTGGAGCAGGTGCCCCCCCCAGCACGGTCCCCACTGGTGCTGGGCAGAGCTGTATTTAGCAGCATGCTGGGATCAGTGCTGCTGGCTCGCTGCTCCATGCTGATAGTGGGGAGGGATTTCTGCCCACTGCCAGGAGGCGCCAGGGGCTCATCCGGAGATTGGTGCTGCTGATGGATCACTCAGCGCTGAGGGGAGCCCGTGGCGGTGTAGGAGTGCGGTGTAGTCCCCGGTGGGCGGAGCAAAGGCGCTCAGGGCGAGTGCGGCAGCTCCTGTCACAGGATGCACGGGGCTCCCTGCGGGCAGGAGAAGCTGCCCCAGTTTGCGTTACCTTCATTCAGGAGTGACGGTACCGGAAGTGCCTTCTGACACATCTTGTTTTGGGACTCGAGCACTGGGTGGGGGCGGACGGGTTTGGATGCTAGGTGTTGGTTCAGCTGATGATGGGGATAGGGCACAGCTGTCAATTTCGGATCCAGGTTCAGTTGCTGACCCGCCCCCATGTACACAAACGCTGCGGGAGACTAGGGGGAAGACAGGGTTCAGATCTAGGGGTTGGGGTCAGGCTGACCTCTGCAGCAGCTGGAAGTTGCTGTCTGTGTGAGAAGGATTCAGGGAGGGGGCCATCTGAGTGCAGTTGCTCCCAGAGAGGTGTCCATTTAAGAAAATCCACCGCTACAATTGTCACTAACTGGGAGTCTGAACAGAGTGAGCAATGGGCTTGGGGCCTGACCTCCCCTCCCCTCCAGGTCAGCAATGAAGGACAGGGGTGGCAGTGCGTTGTTCTGACACATCCCCAGTTCTGTACACATCCCAGGCTGTGGAGAAACAGCACATCAGTCTCCAGCACTGTCGGCCCAGAATGTCTCACCAGCCCTGCGTTTGCTTAAAAAGAGAAATGGGCCTGAAACATAAGCCCGGATCAGAACCTGGGTAGGGATCCGAGCTCGTTGCTCGAAGCTGTTGCTGTGGATCTAATCTGAGCACTGAATCCAAATGCTTTTCAAACTTTGGGATCTGGAGCCCAAGTCTGGGGATGTTTGGATCCTGGGTTTTGGTTCTGCCCATTCTAGAAAGACAAGCTCCCGACCTGGGGTTCTAGGCCTAGGTCCACTTAGAAATCTTTTCCCCCTTCTTTTTTAATATTTTAATATTTTTAATAGTAGCTTCCCCCCACTTTACTATTTACCCTCTTCATTCCTAAATCATAGTCTCTCCAAACCGAGAAAATGCTGTGCCTCACTCGGGTCACTGGTGTTCTTGTTGCTCTGGCTATGAGACAAGGAGCCTTCTCTCTCTTTCTGTTATACCACAGATATGTCACTTGGAGGATTCTCAGCTCACTTTTACACAAATATACTTTCTTCACAAGCTCCTTCCTGAGAGCTCTGACTGTGATTAATGAGCCCATACTCCTGGTGTTCAGTTCCATTCACATTGGACAAACTTTCTCCCTCTTCCTTGTCTCCATTGTCACCACTTTCTCACCTATTTTGGCTTCCTGTGTCAGTTTTCCACTCTTGTTTTTTATGCACCTTGCTTGGCTTCTTCACATTCTCTGGATGGCTTTAAGGGCTGGAGGTCACTTCCTGATCTCTCTGGTCCTTGATCCTCTACAAAAAGTCCCTGTCTTGCACGCACAAGAAGTGGATCCCTAGAGCTTAGAGAGACAAGGTGGGTGGGGGAGGTATTATCTGTTATTGGACCAACTTCTATTGGTGAGAGAGACAAGCTTCCGAGCTTACACAGAGCTCTTCTGCAGGTCTGGGCAGCCCAGAGACCCAGACATTGGTATTAAAATCTTTAACCCTTGGGCCTCTGCCATTTTTCCACTGGGGTGGACAGAGGAATGTTCTTTGGGGGTGGGGGAGGGAGAGGGGTGGCTGAGGGACAAGAGGAGATGCCTGTATATATGCATCCATAGCAAACTGAGGAGGATTCACTTACACGGATTATTTGCTGCAGACAGTTGAGCGCTCAGTGCACGGACGAGACAGGTTGCTTTCCTTTCAGCAACTGAAGCTTAGAGAAAGGAAGCCAAACACAACATGCAGCTCCTTCCATAGAACTTCACATAATTCTCACTCTTGTCATCTCCTCCTTCCTTCCATAGATGTCCGAGTTCACTACTCAGCTGGTCCGGGCCATTCAGACTGCCCAGAGCAAGAACCCGGCGCCAGGCAAAACCAGCGGAGTTGTGGTCCTGAATCAACCCCTCCTGATCAACACCTACACGGGTTTTATGTCTTTCATCGGGAACCAAAACAAACTTGGTTATTCCCTTGCCCGTGGGAGTGTTGGCTTTTGAAGCTCTCCATGGTGGGGAGTGCTTTTTATTTGTTAATGTCACTGTCCTTTAAATTCTGCATATAGCCCCATTTCTTTTAGAGGTTAAAAAGATGCAAAGGTTAAGTGATGCATAGGTCTTGTGCTGGCCCTCTGCCCAGGGGCAAATTTCCCTCCCTTTGCAATGTTTTTCCTGGGCCTTTCAGCCCTTACTGTGTATGAATATGGATGCATTATAAACTCTTTACGGTGTGTGCAATAGAAATGAATCAAAACCAGGACTCCACACCTGAACCCTGCCAAACTCTGGGAGAAGTTCAGATCTGAAGTTGAATCTTTGCAGCTGTTGCCCATCTCTTGTGTAAAAACTCCACCCCAAACTAAGCTGTCTAGCCCAGCCGGCCCATTGCTAATGTCAATGCAGTGGCTGCACTGCTTAAAACTGGGGCTGTGTCCGCACGGGCTCTCTCAGTGATAATGCTTTAGTCATTCAGGGGTGTGAAAAAACACCCCCCCCCCCCCCGAGTGACAAAAGTTTTAGCACTTGAAAAGCTCCGGTACAGACAGCGCTTTATCGCCGGGAGCGTGACTACACTGTCCCCGTCACAGAGCTGCTGCAGCCGCGCTGCATTGTGAGCCGCGTAGACAGACCCGCAGTGTCCCTGGAAATCTGCAGTGCAGGACCTACAGCTACCCATTGCCTCTTCAGTGACCATGGGGCTCTGAAGTCTGTTTCCCATCTCGGGGTTCTAGGAACTTTGCAGCACAGTAAGTAGGTGCTTGCTTCAAACATCAGGACTAACATTCACGCTACAGAGAAATAGTTTAACTGATCTCTGGAGGTGGCCCGGAATTGATACGAGCCTTTAGCTATCTGCACTCTCTCACATGCCGGATATATTATTTTGTGCTTGCATCTATATCTGTCAATCCGTGCCTGGAAATGACATCCTACACTATCCTCAGTGCTGCCCTTTAAGATCTCTCTTGTTTTTTTAAAGAGCCGCTGTGTTTGAAATTCTGTTTGGATCACTTGGAGAATCTCTGGAGTAACCCAGTGACACATCTGGAAAGGAATTTTCTCTGTTTCTCTGGTCACATGACACCTGGTCCAAAGCCCTTCAGAGTCATTGGAAAGACTCTCATTGCTCTGAACTCTTTTCAGATCAGACCCATTGCAAAAGACAACAGTGAAATAAATATCTTGAAACAAATCTTAAAGGATAAAAAAAAATGTTTACTCATAAACTTTTCATATTCTGCATAAGATGTTAGAATGGGGGAAAATCCAACAAAACCAGACACATTATTTTTTGGACTCTTCAGAATATTTTGGCTAAATAGATAAGTGGCTAGTATAATTGGGTCTCAGAGTTTGTTGGTTTTTAAGGATCAGCATCACAGTATATTGTCATTTGAGATTTTAATAAAATAATCTCCTCAGTGGTTGTGTTTCTTTTAGGTTCCAGGTGGCAGATAAGTGAGTGGACAATGTTATTTTTCTTTTTGGGGGTAGGGTTGTCTCCAAGGCTCTCCCATTTTCCTCACCTACAGGCCCTGCAACATACTGCTTTTCTTCTCTATGCCCTGGCTCTGCACTACAGTGAAACCTTCCCGAGCCAAACAGTTCTGTCATCTAGAGAGGGCCATTAGAGACTTATGGGATGTTCTCCATTTTATTCAGTATCTGATGTCTCTGCAGCATCAGAGAGTTCAAGGCCAGAAAGAACCATCAGGGTGCTGGGGTGGTGTAGAAAGAAATAAGAACAGGATATAAAATCTGATTTCCTATAGTCTTCACTGATGGCCTACACCATGGGCATGTCTTCAGTGGTTGCATTTAATAACTGGCGTTGATTAATATCACCCATCCTTTAAGGACTGTTCATCAAAAGCCCATGGAATATCTAATGCAAACCACAAATGTACCATATAAGTTGTAGCATCCTGTTTGCTTGGCATGCCACCAAAACCAGAAAGTGGGTGAGACCATTGGTCACACCAGAAGGGTTGTCAGCACACAGGACTCTACAGATTCTTGAATCCTTGAATTCTGTGTTACCCTTAATGGATCCATCTCAACCCAAAATATAACAAAAATGTTTTCAAATCTAACCACCTTCTCTGACTCCAGACTGGGCAGCAGTTGAAGTTCCAAGCCAGGAATGAAGCAAATGTGTTTTATTTTTCTTCTCTGCATCCGTTACAGATTCCCCTCACCCTTTAATTTGTTATGTCAGTTAGCATTGCCCTCCTCAAGGCAAGAACTTTTTATTCAGCCTGCAAGAGGAAATGTTGCAATGTTGGAAGAGGTGGGATGAGAAATCTTTGGCAATTGTTCTTAGGAAGGCATCACTGGCAACATAGCACAATAATTTTGCGCAAGAAAAAAAAAATCCTTGCCTAGGAAACTGGGATCTTGCTGAGAAGGTGTTAGGAAAATAAATATCTGCTTTTAGTTCATGCTGTTCCCTATTGGGATTTAACATTCTGCTTGTGTAGCTCTTTCATACCAAGCTAACTTTCAAAGTAACCCCCTGCCATTCCATTGCCAATGTGCTTTTAAAGACACAAGCCGAGCTTTATTGGCTAAACTCCACCTTGTCAAGAATATTTTGAACTTGTTTTTGTTTCTGATTCAGACAGAGTTACTGGGATTCAGAGCCTCCAAAATGTAGGTCGCTTGATTGAATCCTTCCCAGGAACAAAGGTTATTAACACTGGGTTTCTTGAGGACCTGTGTGAGGCAGGTCCTACGGTTACCTGAGACAGGTGTTCACTTAACAAAAGTATACTCACCATAATTGTGACTGACTTTCACTCATTTGCAGCCTAAAGACTTAACAGTGCTTGGAGACTGAAGTCTCCACTCTCCCCTGGAGAGGGTCCCACCAGATCAGGGAGCAGAGACTTTTCAAAGGGGCACTCTTGGGAAGTTTGAACTGCAGTTACTCATGCTTATTATATGTGGATTTTGGCTCACTGATGTCCATCTTCAGGGCACATTACACTAGCACTAAAATGCTGAGGGAGAGGGCTGGAAGATTAACGAGAGCGTTCCATAGCCTAGTGGGATGGAAAAACACAGAGCTACCACCAGTGGGACTGTTCTGGCCACCGTTGAAGTTGGTGGTAAATGTTCATTCACTTCAATGGGGCCTAGATTCTTCTCCAAGCCATGACATTCAGAGCCTGTTCTGATTTTATCCAACCCCAAGGGAGTTCAGATCCGGGATGCTGGCTCGACGTTTTACCAGGTCCAAGGGGAGAGAGGGGATGGGAGACAGTCACAAAGTCTGGACTTTGGTTTCATCCTATTTGTCCTTTGGATATTGTATCACCACTTGGGAAGCCATTCATGTCTCAGTGAATTTCTCTGTCAGGAAGCTTTTTCCTGATGATCATCTCCTTTCTTATTGACGTCAGCGTGCTGATAGAGATGTCTCACGCAATGACCTAAATGCTGTACTGCACGATTTCAGTGCAAGAACTGTATTAGTTTCAACCTGTTTCTGGAAACGTGCCTTTTATGTGGTTTGTGTATTACACACAAACCTCAGATCTCTTTCGTGAGTTCAACAATTCAACTTTAATGAGTTCAAGGGCTTTGCAGGAACTGCAAAAAAAGTATTTTTGTTAAGCTTTTTGTTTTCAAGCCCATTTTAGTTTCTAATGTCTGATTCGAATATTAATAACCACCGCAGGGAAAGAAGTTTGTGGGGGGGAGGGGAAGCAGGTTCGTTATACCTCCTCAGCACGTAGCGTCCTTAGGAATGAGCTGTAACAGCACAGTTGCAAACTGGTGCGTCTTTTAGTGAAAATGGCCACAGGAGTTTCCTTCGGGACTCCTTTGTTTCTGATGCGGATTTGATCCTGGAATTTTAGCTGCTGCTTCAGGCACCTATTAAATAAATGTGCACAAGGTCCTTTTCAGTGCCTAGCATGATGTGGGTATAAATTAATGAGAGCATGATGTTTAGTGATCAGAACTGGGGCGGTTGGGTTTTCTTCCTGTCTTGCTGTGTGAACCTGGGCAAAATGCTTAGGGCCCGATTTTCAGAAGGGGCTTCTAAATACTGAGCCCCCTACACTCTGACGGGGGACAGTGGGAACCGCCGGGGCTCAGTACGGCTGCAAACCAGGCCTTGGGAATCTACAGATGAACACCCAAAAACAGAGGCACCACTTCCTGCCTCGCTATCCCCAGCTCTAAAACAGGGGTCACAATGAGTACCTCTTATCTGGTGACAAGTGCTTCTCTTCTGCAGCCCCTGCTGCCTGCACCTCCTTCAGCCGTTGCCTGGCAAGGCTTGATTTGGTATTTTCAGAACAACGTGTAGATCAAGCGACTCTCTGATGCCGCTAGGTTACCCTTGCTAGGCCCTGATATTTATGCCAGACTCCCGGAGCCCAACTCCTTCTTTGATGTGGCCGTGCAGCACCTCAATGAGTATTTCAACTCTGGAGATTCGGTTCTGCTAAGGTGGGAAAACATTTTTGGAAACTCACCAGCAACCCAATGAAACCCTATATGACTTTGCAGGTTGTTTGTGGCATTTGGCCCAGGACTGTGAATTTGGGGATGTTATGGCTTCTGCCATCTGACGGGTTTAGCTGCTCCCAGATGCGAAGCTTCAAAGGCAAGATCTGTTTCCAAAGCAATGAGGGGCTCTAGAACGGAGAATTGGTGCGGCCTGATATGCCACATACATGAGACAAAATGCTCCTCCTTTGCTGCCATGGTGCCTTGGTGTGCTCCCAGCAAAGCACCATCATTCTGATGCCATCGTGCAGAGGCCGATCGGCGTCCCCATGTGTGAGATTGCTTTTGCTGCGGTTTCCAGGCAGCGGAATATATGCGTCAGGGAACAGAATGTCCCTGCCACATTCCCAGTCTGCTAGTCTCAGGAAATGGAAGAGCCAGGGATAAAACCTGCAGGGATGGTTCCCATTCAAATCAATGGGTGTAGCCCAAACACCTGCTTTACCTCCCCACTGTGCAGTCAGCTGATCCTTCCCTGAGGAAGAGGTGGGGGACCCACTCCTTCCCTCTTTCTCTTACAGGAATGATCTCCGTGTGAGTCACTCCCAGCACCCTGTGGACCTTGTTTCCCTGGAAACGGGGCCCTGCTCCAGCAGCCGCAGGGCTCAACTCAGCTCTGACACAGCTTCCGGGGTAGGGCAGGGCACCGACGGACTAACACATCCCGGGGCAAGGCTTGACCACACTTCAGTTGCACATGTGGCTGTTGACTTACTGCAGAAAGTGCTAAACTCAGAAGCAGAGGGAGGGTGGGACTGCAGCGGGTCCATTTTCATCGTTCTAGATCTCTGCCTAGCATCCTTCCTGGGTACCGCCTAGGCCCTGGGTGTCAGGCTTGAGGGAGCAATCAGCTTGCTGCTTGGGGATGCTCACTGTTTACTGTAGCCCAAGGGAAGCTGTTGATCCAAGATCTTGGATTATTGACCAACGTGGTGACGGTTAGGATGGCTGGGGATTACTCTCGAAATCTCCACTCAAGTAGCAGCCTTTGTGCTGTAAAAAACTGCCCCCTTCCTGATTCCTCCTTTCTGGTTTTTGATCTCACCTATTGCCCGACATTCCCAAACATCTGACACATTGACGCTGCCTTTCCCTCGCTCCCTCCCTCCCTCCCGGGCCTGCGCACACACTCCCCCAAAGCCTTGTGCTTCAGCTGAGTGACACGTTGGGCGGTGAATGAACGGGCACAGCTGTGTCGAAGCATCCGAACAATGAACACATTCCAAAATAGAATGCGCTCGTGGGGAACAGGCAAACCCTTCATGTGCCAGAGACGAAATCCAGAGAATGCTGGGCTGGATCGCTGGCTTTTCACGCCTCCTGCTAATTAAACCCTGCGTCCATAGTAGCTCTCCTGTCTGCTCCATCCAGAGTCGGTGGCTTCCTACCAGCTTAACGGAGGCATTTCCCTTGGGACCTCTTCCAGTAATGACTGAAGTCCTCCCACATCACCTTTAATACAGACAGACATAATTAAGTCATTTCATTTGGGCAGGTTGATTTGCTAAAGGCCCATGGTCCACCATCGAGTTAAAGGGGCAGTTTGTCCAGCTTTTAACCTCGGCTGGGATTCTGTTACACATAATCCTCCCTTGATGGCCTTTGCACCGTGTTCTGAGTAATTTAAATGGTGTGGCTTAAATCTATTTAAAAAAGAAGGGGTGGAGTGCTCATCCTAGTCATTCCAGCTGAGAAACAAACCCAGGCCAGCCAAAATGCTTCGTTTAAGGATGGGTGAGTCTCAGAGCACGCCGAGATTTGGTTTACTTACGAATCCAATTTTGGAGCCTGGAATCCTGTTGTGGATTTGTCATTCTGCTAGCCAACTGCTGTCTATGGGCAAAGGGGGAAGAGT